GAGCTCGTTTGCTCAAGGCTAGTGCTCTACCAGTCTGAATCACAGCATCACTTCCTGTTGGTTAATTGGAATAAGAGTCTCAAGGACTGGCCTTGAACTGGGATCTCAGCCTCTTGAGAAGCGAAGAGCCACCCGTGTCCAGCATGGAGTTTGAATTTTATGGGGGGTGAGGGGAGCTCTTTCCCAGCGCTGCCACACCCCCTCAGCTGGCCTTGTGCCCAGTTCCTGCGGCAAGGGGTGTGGAAGGCATGTCACCCCCTGTCCAGGATGCTTCCTCACGCTGCACAGTGCACAACAGCTTCGCAGCTTGCACCTCATGGGGCTGCCAGGACAACTGGCTGAGCTGGCCAACGTCTATGTCTATGTGTGTAGAGATACAGTTGTCTCGAGTTTGAGAGGACAGCTGGGGAGGAGCAGGAGTGAGTCCAGGTCTCCGACTCGCACCCTGGGGTGGAGGGCAGCTAGGGCTGGGATGGCTCCCTAGAGGCCTTGCTTCTCCCTCGTCCAGGTTACGTGCACTTCCGGCTGCAGTACCCAGAACTCTTCGACAGCCTGTCTCTGGAGGCTGTCCGCTGCACCATCGAGGCCGGCTACCCTGGGGTCCTCTCCAGCAGGGACAAGTACGGCCGGGTGGTCATGCTCTTCAGCATCGAGAACTGGCACGCTGAAGAAATCACTTTCGATGAGGTCCAAGGGGGCTCCCCCACCCCTGGGCGGCCCGGCTCCCCCTCCGACTCTCTCCCCTCCCACATGCACTCACTCCTGGAGCCTTAGGAGGTCTGTGGGAGACGGGGGTGGGGGGGGGTGGGGGGGGAGGGGGGAGGAGCCACCACATGCCACAAGCAGAGAAGATTTGTGGCTTGTGCCAGGGCAGCTGGAGAGGCCCCCGCTTTGTAAGCATGGTGTCTTCATCATCTCCGCCCAGTGCCGCGGGTGTGGGGGGGGGCACAGCAGCTGGGGGGGGCCGACAGCAGAACAGGATCGGTGACGCAGGGCTGAAGGCACTTCTGGAAAAGGCAGGCTCCACTCTACTCAGCAGACTGTGTCCTTTCTATCTATGTGGGTGCAAGCCGCTTGCCCAAACCCTCAGAGTTCGTACCCAGTGGAAGAAAGAGGGTTTGCCCATTGAGAGAACTTTGGGATGAGTCATGCAGCCTTGACAAAGACTTCTGAATTAGAAAAGATGCTCCAGACTTGTGTTGGAAAATACTGTTCAGCTGCTTCCATATAATGATTAAATGTCCATCTTCATCTGGGCGCAGGTGGCTCACGCCTGTCATCCTAGCTACTCAGGAGGCTGAGCTCTGAAGATCACAGTTGGGAGCCAGCCCAGCAGGAAAGTCTATGAGACTCTCATTTCTGATTAGCCACCAAAAAGCCAGAAGTTGAGCTGTGACTCAAGGGCCAGAGCACTAGCCTGGAGTGGAAAAGCCAAGTGAGAGGCCCCGAGTTCAAGCCCGTATCGTTATTGAGGAAACCTGATTTAGCACTGAAGCTCCTCTAATGGACAGCTGTAAAAAACATCTAATTTTCGTACCATACACACACACACACACACACACACACACACACACACACACACACACGTATCACTAACGAATTTGAAATCATCCATAATTCTTATACCCAGATACTTTTGCCACTGACGTTTTCCCATAGATTTTTTTTTGGGTGGTTGTAGAGCTTGACTTCAGGGTGCATGCTTGCTTGCTAGGCAGATGTTCTACCATTTGAGCCACTCCTCCCGTCCATCCTTCAACCTAGTTTTCTAGGTAGACACCCACAGACACCAAGATTTTTCTTGTAAAGTGGAATCCTACTTTGATGTGCACGCCACGCACGTTTCCTGGCCATCAGAGGCTTCTGTGTCGTTTTTAACGGTCCCTGAGTGCCACAAGACTTCAGTCTACCACAACCTTGCCAGTCCTTTGTGGCACACTTTGGTCCTTTCCAGCAGTGCCCTCATTGTAAGAGCGTGGGATAAACGCCCTAACCACGGATGGAATCCTTCAAGGTTGTCCTGTGTACATTCACAGAAGGGGACCATCTGACATGGAAGCCCTCCAGCCAAGGGACATGCAGTTAACTGTCCCCTGGGACCTGAGCCTTAATTACCTTGGAAGGTCAGGTCTGACGCCCCCTCTTCTCCTGCCCCAGATCTTGCAGGCGTATTGCTTCATCCTGGAGAAGCTGCTGGAGAATGAGGAAACACAAATCAATGGCTTCTGCATTGTCGAGAACTTCAAGGGCTTTACCATGCAGCAGGCTGCGGGGCTGCGGGCCTCGGATCTCAGGAAGATGGTGGACATGCTGCAGGTGAGGTTTGGAACCTGTGCCAGGCCGGTCCTCTCTCACAGCGGGGGAGGCCTGGGTCACAGGGGATCTCTCTCTGTCTCTGCAGGATTCCTTCCCGGCCCGGTTCAAAGCCATCCACTTCATCCACCAGCCGTGGTACTTCACTACCACCTACAACATGGTTAGGCCCTTCTTGAAGAGCAAGCTGCTGCAGAGGGTGAGTGTGAGCCTGCCCAGGGCGCGTGCGCAGTGAGGGAGGGGGCATGGGCGTGGTGGAGCGCTCCTGTCCCTCCTCCCCTCCACGGCCCCGCCCCCAGCCTCAGGGCGCCTCCTGCTCACCGGTCCTCCTCGCTTCCCTGCAGGTCTTTGTCCATGGAGATGACCTCTCAGGCTTCTTCCAGGAGATTGCTGAGACCATCCTGCCCGCTGACTTTGGGGGTACACTGCCCAAGTATGACGGCAAGGTGGTTGCTGAGCAGCTCTTTGGCCCCCGGGTCCAAGCTGAGAACACAGCCTTGTGAGCATGCATCTGGCCTGCGTGGGAGCCCTTGGTAGTAGCATCCTGGCCCTGCCCCGCGGGCTGGCTGTCCTGGACTCCAGGCTGGGGAGCCTCAGACCTCAGGGGAGCTGGGGGTCACCTTTGAGGGTGGGAGTGGCAACGCGGCGGGGATGCCTCTTGAACAGAACTGCAGGACACACTACCTTGTGTGCGGCTGGGTTTCAAGGCCGTAGCAAGGCCTGCTGGTAATTCCCTCTGGAACGTCTTCGGTCTGTGAAAGCAGGCCAAGAGGGAATGAAAAGCACCCTCACCTGCTTCCAATAAAAAGCAACTAGTGAAAGGGTTTACGTGGACATGATTTGGTAAACACAGTGATCTTGGTGCTTATAGGCAGGTGAGTGATTTTCTCCCAGAATCCCAGTGGGGAGCGGCTTCACTGTGGGATGGCCAGTCCTCCTGGGTCAGGTGCGATTTGATGTACATGCCAGCCTGTTCTGTGGACTCCTACTGCCCCCTGCTGGCCGTGTCCTGCCATTGCCCTGCTTGGGACAGGCTGTGCAGATGTTAAAACCTGACTTGCTCAGCCCCACAGGCCTGTGTGTGCCCTTTTTTTTTTTGTTTTGTTTTTTGTTCTTTTTGTTTTTGTGTGCTGGTCCTTGGACTTGAACTCAGGGTCTAGGCACTGTCCAAGAGCTTTTTTCTTTTTATCGGTCGTGGGGGCTTGAACTCTGGGCCTGGATGCTGTCCCTGAGCTCTTCGGCTCAAGGCTAACGCTCTACCGCTTGAGCCACAGCTCCACTTCCTGTGTATATATATATTTTTACTTTAGTTAATTTTAGAACAGACAGGATCTTGTCCTTTTACTTGGGCGAGCTTGGGCGGTGATGCTTCTATCTATACTTCCCAAGAATCTGAGATTACAATGTGAACCATCGCACCCAACCTTGCCTTAGATATTCTAATGTACATGATCTGACATATGGCCAGGCACCAGTATTTTTCCCAGTCCCCTAGGTAGCTCAGATGTAATTGCTTAAGCCCTGTGCGTGGACATGTGAGGGAAGGTTAGTTTAAGAGACCATACCATGTTAGGCTTCAGTGGCTCACGCCTGTCATCCTAGCTACTCAGGAGGCTGAGATCTGAGAATCATGGTTCAAAGCCAGCCTGGGCAGGAAAGTCTGTGAGACTCATCTTTATTTAATCACCAGAAACCCTGAAGTGGTACTGTGGTTCAAAGTGGTAGAGTGAAAGCCTTGAGCAAAAGAGCTCAGGGACAGTGCTCAGGCCTCGAGGTCAAGGCCCACATTAACCAAAAACAAAAATAAAGAAGGCCATACCAGCGAGTATCAAATGCAAACTTTGAAGTTGGGCTCAAGGCGGCTAGGTTGCTCTGGCCTTGTCTCCAAGAAGTCCATGTGACAAGGCAGCGGCCACAGGCTCCGTGTCCCAGAGAAATGAGCAAATGGGGCTTAGGACTATTTGCAGAAGTAGCCCTGCCAGCAGGCAGGATGGATGTGGGCGAGCACAAGAAGGAAGTAGTTAGCACCTGATGATCTTCATGATGGCCACAGCGCCTGTCAGCACTTCTGAGCCCAGGGATGGGCCTGTACACCCAGGCTGTCCTCCAGACTCGGCAGACAGAGGCTCCGGTGCATAGCTGCGCCTCGGGTGGGGGGGGGGGGGGGGCGGGGAGCGGCACCACGGGCTGGACACACACCTGCTTTCTATTCTGTGGCGGAAGGTGATTGCTGAGTGAGGACCAAGTGGGCCAAACCAGAACCACTGCCCCAAATAACACCAGCACCTTGGAGAACACTTTGTGGCTCAATGGCCCAGGGCAGGCATTCTTATTACCTTATAAGCTAAAATGGTGTTTTGAAGCTGGGTGTGGTGTATGCCTGTAACCCAGCTACTTGGGAGGCAGAGACTGGGAGGATGGCGGTTCAGGGCCAGCAAGGTAAAACGTTTGTGGGACCCTCTTTCACGGCCAGCAGGGCCCAGTGGTGTGAGCCTGTTGTTCCAGTTATGTGGGAAGTACACACAGGAGGGTCATGGTCAAGTCAGACCCTATTCCAAAAAGTAACAAGAGCAAAAAGGGATTAGGAGAGTTGTAGCAGCTTAGCAACGGCAAAACCCTCATTTCAATCCCCACTACCACCAGAAAAAACCATAAACAAAAACACTAGACAGGCCACACAAACCGTGTTATGTTTTTAGTCTTTATTTTTTTAAGTAAAGAAATCCCATTGAATCAAAGATAAGAAATTACAGTTTTTGTTTGTAATGATTTTTTTTTTACCACCACACAGAATCAAAGTAGAATCAAAAGTAACATGAGAACGTAAAACAACCAAGGACACGACTGTTTAGTACAATTTCTTAATAAAGGTAAATATCCTCATGTTTAGAAAAAATTGCATTGCTAGTTGCAAACCTTAAATGCCTCCGCCCTGAAGGATCCTGTCTTCCACAACACCCCTGCCCCAAAGATCCAGCCGCACAGGGACTTTTGGAACGAGAACTCAACACAGTTTGTTTTCAGGGTAGCATCGGCGATTTCGGAAAAGCACAAGAGGACAAAACCAAACCCAACCCAGAATCAGGAATGTGAGATTGATGCTTCTAACATCAATCTGCACACAGCTCCGCCAACCTATGGGGGTCTCATGTGGAAAAGGAGCGATGTGAACCCTTCCGGCCATCCCTCCCTCCGTCCTTCGGCCCTTAGTGGCGCTGGGGCAGCTGCAGCAGCCAGCGGCAGGTGAAAGGTGAGGTGCAGGCGGCCCCTTCGCGGTGGGGCAGACCCAGCCGGCCTGGAACTGGGGTGGATTTGTGCTTTAGCAAAAGAAAGACCCAAAGAAACATGGCAAGCAGACACACTCTAACTCCTGACCTCCACCCCCACCCCAGGACAGCCAGGGGGAAAAGAAGGCTGGCACAGGGAACAAGGGGGTCCTACGTGGGAGGCGACTGCCCGAGGCCAGGGACCAGCAGTGGACTTCCTCAATGATGGCAACAGTGGGTTTCTGGGCCAGTGGGGACCGGAAGGGAGAGAAGCTGGGTTATGGATTTCATGACGGATTGCGAGGCGTCGGGCTAACAGCTGAAGACCTCCCGAATCTCAGGATGGCAGACTTGGTCCTCCACAAAGAAACCAACTTCAGCTTGCTCATCGAGGGACACCCGAAGACGCATGCTAGGAAAAGCCTGAACTTCCAAAGGGGCAGCTGCCCCTGTGTGCGCGTCTGGGAAGGGCTGTAGGGTTGAACTGTGTCTCACTGCCCGGGGCGGGGCCGTGATTGTGGGGGGAGGGGGGTTGCAGCCACCCCAGGGGGGCCGTCGAAGACCCCCTCGCTCTGGATGGTATCTGACTCCTGCTGCCTGCGGGGGGCGGGGAGGGGGCGGGGAGGGGAGGGCAGTTCCCCTTCTCTCAGCTAAAAGTACAACTTGGCGAAAGCAATTCCAACTTTTAAGGGGGAGGGGGTGCTTCCCTCCGCTTAGGGAACAGATAACTTGCCTGCAGTCACTTGACCCTTAAATGCCACGGCCAGGCCAGTTTTCATGGCTTTTGGAAGCATCTGAGCAATGCAACGTGGCTTTGAACGAAAGTAAGGCCAAGATGATGGAGGAGCCACAGCTGAGGCGTTTGGGCCTTGCTCTGGCTCTCTGGGATTATTTAGGCCTGGGAGGTGGGGGTGTCACGTGACAAGGACCCTTCCCGTCCGCTGTAGGATGTCCTGGTCTGGCTGTGGGTTTGAGCCTCGTTCACGATGTTGCTGTAATGCCAGGGGGGCTTCCAAAGCAAGTTAAGGCTTCGTGGCAAGGATGACAATTCTGGGTGACGCTGGGCTGGACGCTGCAATGGAACGCTTTCCCTGCCAGCCCTCCCGTCCGCGGGCTTCCTTCAGCAGCACGGGCTGTCAGGGGTCCTTAGCGCTACATCAAGATCGAGACCACGGGAACAGAAAGGCCGCTCACATCTCCGACACCTGCTGCTGGCAGACACACACAAGAACACACACCCCGCGGTTTCCCCGGAAGTCTAAAACCCATCTCAGATCACCCAGACACAAAGGCAGCTCTCATCCAGACGCCAGGCCTCGGACAAGCTCGGCGATCCAGAGTTCAGCGCGGCCAAGATGGTCTGGGAATGAAAGGCTGAGCAGGAAGCGCTTTCTGACGGGTGACGCGGCAAGATGGCATCTGTCTCTCATCTCAGTGGCCAGCACCTGCCATGGTCACGAGACCACCCAAGGACACAGGTGACAGACTTGGAAAAAGAAGCCAAAGATGGGGCCTTGGACGGGGTCCAGGGCTCTAATGAGGAAAGGCTGAATGCACAACTCCCTCTCCAAGGGCCCCCCGGAGACGATCCAGCCCGGGGCTGTGGCCCAGCTGCGTCCACCTGCCGCTCTGGGGAGGCCAGGGCCATGGCCGGCACAGGATGCCGAGGAGGATGGAGCCGTCTTAGCGATGAGCTGGGAGGAGTTGGAGGGACCAGTCATCACTAAGGTGACTAGCGACACAGGGGAGCAGCCAGACCTCCCGGACACCACGTCAGGAAAGCAAACGGAGCTTACGGATCACAGTAGCCGCAGCCTGCCATCTCTGCTCCGCGTGAGGGCTGTTGGTACAAATTCGCCCAAACCCACCAAGACCACGGATCTTCCCCAAGTCTGCAAACCTCCCTTCTTACATCACTGCTTCGGAGAGAGGCCAGTTGTTCTTGAGTCCGACAGTCCTGATGTGACTGGAATCAGCATCTCCAAATTGGGGGGGAGGGGGACAACTGGGGAAATGTGGGTCCATCTCCCCTTTGGCTTTTAACATGGTTCCTTTGATTTTAAAGAAGAATGTTCCAGCACTCTAGAAACCCAGTCTTGTTTTAGGCCAGACAGGACCTCAATAGGAAGAAGAGCAGTCACGTGGCCATGAGGAAGTGGCGCTCCAGGCTCACCCTGCACTGGGAGCTCTGTGCCCTGGGCAAAGAGACTGCCTGAAAGACAGCCTCAGTCTCAGCTCGTTCCCAGGCCTGTGGGTCTGGGGCCTGAATGAAGAAAGGGCCTCAGTTCGTTTCATGTGAACCAAAATGGAATGTGAGTGCCATTCAGTCACACATTGAGATTCCAGCTGGGACGCGTCCTCCCTCCGGGGGGCTGGGGGTTCCGGCTGTGCAGTGGCAAAGTCCATACCCCTGGGGGGCAAGGACACTGCACCCCCATCAGCGCTGCCAGCAGGCAATGGGACTCTTCCCCAGAAGGGGGCGCTGCTGGACCGCTCCCTGTCAGTAGGTGGCGATGGGGCCCCAGGCGGATGAAACGGGATTCGAATCTGCTGAATTATTGCTTGGTTCACCTATTTTCACAAAAAATCTGGAGGAATGAAAGCAAGTGCAGTCTGAATCTTTTAGTGTGGTCGGAGAGAGGAAAGAGTCAGAGGAGAGGGACTGGCTTCCAAATGAAGGGGTAGGTAATAAAGTGCTATTTTGTGCTAAAAGAACATAAAAAATGCATTGGAGAAATGATGACTTGGGGGAAAAGCAAAATGCAGGGATCTGGTGAACATGAAAAAGGAGACCATGGCAGAGTTGAGAGCCCAGAAAGGGAATCTTCTGAGCCAATGGCTGTGTCTCGTGTTACTTAGGGTGACCTGGTGATTGTCAGAAAACAACTCAGGTTATGGAAGTCACAGCCACGGCCAGGGCCTGAGGTCAAGCTGCCAGCGGCCAAGACCAGGTGTTCCGGTGGCTCCAGTCACTGCTGAGACGCATGCGCAGACCCACTCCCGACATTCCAGTCTGTCCTCCAGCCCAACGAGCATCTTGTTACGGTGTCCAGCTGACTTCCCTCACAGTTCTGTCCAGTTCCAGGCAGCCGCTGCTGGCTTTCACAGCACTAGGCTCTTAGCTTCTCAAGAGCTGCAGGGCTGCAGGCAGGAGCTCTTGAATCCTACAGTGACGTGTCCGCCTCAAGAGACAAAGGTGTCACAGAGGTGCCTGGGCAGGCAACACCCAGGAGCTAGTCCATGAAAGCTGCTTGCAATCAACACCCGCCTTGTAGGTCGGATACAATCTTTCTTCAAACTCAGATCCGGCTTTTGAATTGTTTGGTATCAAAAAGCCAGAGGTAGAGGGGCCTGGGTTCAAAAACTAAAAATTACAACTGAGTGCTTTAAAGCTCCTCCTCCCCCACAAATCTCTTTACATGGACGGGGGGAGGAGCGAGAAGAGAAAGACACATGAGGACATTTACATGCTTAGATGGGAGCTAGCCCCGGGCTGGACTGGAGGGGTGGGGGTGCTCGCCCGAGCGTCAGCACTGTGACTCTGTCACCGGACTTCAGAACTGGTGGTCACCCTGGTGAAGCCCCCCGGTTTCATCACTGAGAAGTAGTAGAGCCAGGGTTCAGCCCACACGATCGCTCACACCCAGGGCTATGGGAGAAAGTCACCATGTAATCCAAGACCAGCTAGGGTCCTGGGTGGGAAAGAGACACTTGGTTATAGGAGTTCAACAAAATGAGCCACCCATGGCTCCTGATTGAGAAGGCGCTGGAGAATCCGGTCCCCAATCTCTGCCTGGTGATGAGAGTCCCCTGGGGCACTTGTTAAAAATTAAAATCCCCAGACTCCTCCCATCCCCCCACTCAATCAGCCTCTCTGAGGGGAGGGGCCTGGGAGGCCAAATTTGTAAAAAGTGCCCCGTGCGACCCTCTGCAGCAGTAAGCCAGGACTGAGAAACCGGCTTGCAGGTGAGGGAGAAAGCTGGCTAACAACGGGCGGGAATGGGTTTTAATCTGCCGTGCTGGGGATGGAACCCAGGGCCTGGAGCCTGCCTGGCAAAGCCCCACCCCTGAGCTCCACCCCGGGGCCCTTTCCTTTGCCAGGTAAGAGACAGAACTCTGAGCCCTGGAGGCCAGGTCCTTGGGCTCCCAAGCTGAGCTGTGCTGTGGGCACCGGCCTGGCTTGGCGGTGCACAGTGGTCACGCACAGTGGTCACAAGGTGACACGTGGTCAGGGAAAAGCCTTCCGATGGGCAAAGCAAAGCTGCAGTTCAGACACGTGTTTAATAGGGAAACTAGATGTGACTGGCTAACAAGAGGTCGGACGCTGAGATTCGACAGGAGGCGTGCCAGGTCGCTTGTCCCCATGGCTAACAAACTGGATGGGGAAAGCCAGTAACTAAGCACAAAAATAACCTGCAGCCCCAGGGAGAGCCGCCTACTTGACCCAGGTATGCGGGTGGATGGTCCTGTCGGCTGACGGTGTGAGGTCCGATCCGGTTCACTGAGACAGCGGGGAAGGACGCGGCTTCCGGAGGGCTGGAGTCGCCGGGAGTCCAGCGGCCTCACTCCTGCTCGGCCTCCACCTGCTCCGTGTCGGAGCACTGGGACTTGTTCCGTTCCCACTGGCAAATGGCATCGGCGTACTCCACCACCAGCTTGTCCATCCACGTCAGGGGCTCGGGGAACAGCACGGACCCCTCGAAGAAGCCCAGGTGGCCCCCATGCAGAGGCAGCACAAACAAGACGTTCTCCCGCTTCTCTGCAGGGACAGGGGCCGAGTTACCGCCTTCTCCTGGCTCCCCGTGGGAAGGGGGCTGCTGGGGCACCAACCAGTTTAGGGGCAGAATGGACACTGGTTCCAAGAAGTTTTAGAACTCGAAGTGAGTCTCAAACTTAGCTGTAGATTTCAATTACCAAGGGATAATTTTTTTTTCCTTTGTGGTACTGGGTTTGAACTCAGGTCCTCACACTTGCTAGAGAGGAGCTCTACTGCTTGAGCCATGGCCCAAACCCTATTTTTGCTATCTTTCAGATAGGGTCTTGCTTTTCTGCCAGGGCCAGCCTGGACTGCAATCCTATTTGTTTCCCAGGTAGCTGGGTGACGGGCACGGACCACTGTGCCCAGTTTTTTTTTTGTTGTTGAGATAGGGTCTTGTGAACTTTTTGCCCAGGCTGACCTTGAACCTCAACACTCCCAATCTCTGCTTCCTGAGTAGCTAGGATTACAGACATGAGCCACTGGGCCTGACTCTGGGTCCAGGCTGTCTTCAGGCTGATTTGATCAGACTCTGGTGGAGGAGTGGGGGCACAGGAGAGGACCTGGGCACTGGCATGGCTGAGCCTCGGGGGATGGGCTGTGCTTCCTGCCCTGGCACACCTGGCGTAGCTTATTAAAATGCTAGACAAGGAGAATTCGGTGGAACAATTTTCTTTTGTGCCAGGCATTAATATCCAAGACTGAGACCTAGCTTAAGGCTAAGTTTTTTTTTGGTGTGTGTGTGTGTGTGTGTGTGTGTGTGTGTGTGTGTGTGTGTGTGTGTGTGTGTGTGTGTGTGTGTGTGTGTGTGTGTGTGTGTGTGTGTGTGTGTGTGTGTGTGTGTGTGTGTGTGTGTGTCAGTCGTGGGTTTGAACTCTGGGCCTGGGTGCTGTCCCTCAGCTCTTCAGCTCAAGGCAAGTGCTCTACTGCTTGAGCCACAGCACCACTTCTGGTTTTCTAGTGGATTATTGGAGATAAGTCTCACAGACTTTCCTGCCGGCTTGGCTTTGAACTGCAATCCTCAGATCTCAGTCTCCTGAGTAGCTTGGATGACAGGCGTGAGCCTCCAGCGCCCGGCTCAAAGCTAAGTTTTGACAAAGGATGCCTGGGCTCTGACTGCTGCGTGCTCAGTGTCTACCCCAAGTGGATGGGCTACTTGGCTCGGGGCTTACACACACGGTGCTCACTGAGGTGGTCTGTGGGCGTGCTACTGCAGACGTGGGCTGCGGAGGGGGGGACAGCATCCTGGGGGTGAGGATCCAGTGCAAGGAGGCATGGAATGCCCCCTCCCCTGCTCTGCCCTTTCCCTTCTCCCCCCTCCCCTGCTCTGCCCTTTCCCTTCTCCCCCCTCCCCTGCTCTGCCCTTTCCCTTCTCCCGCCTCCTCTGCTCTGCCCTCTCATTTTGCTTCTCAGGACAAACTTTTAAGTGCAAGTAGTTCCTTCGGTCCGATCCTCTCCTTCTTAATGGAACTAGAACTTAGGGGCAATACTTCTGCAGAATACCAGGACTCCTCCAACACTTTTGGTGGGAGACTCAAGGATGCCTCTCCTCCTGTACAGGGACATTCTGGAACGTTCTGCCCAGGCCCGCCTCAGCCCCAAGATGAGCAGACGAGGCAGAGTAAGAACAATGCCACCGGCTGTCCCTCCCCAGAGAGGCACAGTGACAGGGTTTGCTGTGGCGATGTGCTGAGAGGCCGGGGCAAGGAGCACTTACCTGAAAGAGACTTGGGGATGGTTAGAAGGCTTTCATGCACCAGCGGGTCATCAGCTGCATTCACCAGCATGAGAGGCACATAAATCTGCGGCGACAAAACAGAGCAGATGAAACACAGATACCCCTTTACACTATCACATTCACCGATCATCGCTCCAATTCACTACTAGCCCTCTGTCTGTCTGTCTGCCTGCATGCCTGTCATCTTCATAGAGAAATTTGAAGTTTCAGAGCTTAGTCTTATGTACAATGTTTATAAGATATACAATGGGGCTGGGAAGGTGGCTTAGTGGTAGAGTGCTTGCCTAGCATGCACGAAGCCCTGTGTTTGATTCCTAAGTACCACATAAACAGAAAACGCCACAAGTGGTACTGTGGTTCAAGGGGTAGAGTGAACTAAAGAAGCTCAGGGACAGTGCCCAGGCCCTGGGGAGAAAAAAAAAAAAGATATATAATGGCCAACAACAACAACAAAAGGCCCAGGATGGCAGGAAACCTACATGAACCCCCTACAGAGCTCAGGCAATATTACACTATCAAAGGAAATTTAAGAAAAACTCAGGCACTGCAGTGATTTCTAGGCTCCCTCTAAGTCCAGGAGCAGCATGGTATAAGCGGGAGGGTCTGGGATTAGTGGACAGTGGTCACACAGGGAGTGACTTTGGCTCAAGACAAAATCCAAGTGGGTTCAAGTGGTAGAGGGCCTGCAAAGCAAGCATGAGGCCCTGAGTTCAACTCCCAGCAACACACACACACACACACACACACACACACACACACACACACACACACACACACGGGCTAGAGCAGGGCTGGTCACTCAGGGCCTGCAAAGCAAGCATGAGGCCCTGAGTTCAACTCCCAGCAACACACACACACACACACACACACACACACACACACACACACACACACACACACACGGGCTGGAGCAGGGCTGGTCACTCACCCTGTGCAGGTACCTCATGCAGCTCTCCTCCTCATAATACTCCTTCAGGGAGTTGTAGCCATGGAACTTCCTGGAACATACCAAGAAAAAAACAAGGCAAAGCCACCTGTCATCATGTCGCAGCGATCACCCTTGGGTTTGGGAGGAGGATGCGTGAGCAGCCGTCAGGTCTGGTTCTTGTACACATGTGTCATCGACAGGTGGCCGAGTTGGGGGGTGGAGCCCTGGAAATGCTAATGAACCAACCCTATGGTGGCTCTAATGTGCCAATAAGCCAGCCTCGAGGTGACTGGGCAGTGGGTGGGGCAGCTGAAGAGCCCCCAAGCCCCTCCAGGGGAGGGCGCCCTCCACCTACCTCATCACGTTGTCATCGATCTGCGTCAGGGACGTGGCCGTGTAGAGCCGGCTCAAGTCTGTGTCCTCCAGGCTCTGGGGTTTCTTCACGTGGTCTCCAAAAAGAGCTTGTCTGGAATGAGACACAAAAGCAAATGGGGTACACAGAGGCCGTGCCCAGGTCCTCCGAGCTCTCCAGTGTGGCTCAGGACCCGGGTTCAGGGTCACACAGCCGGGAGAAGCAACGAGGTGGAGGAGGAGCAGCTGGGTCTCAAAGGAGCCTCCTGAGAGGGGGGAGGAGGGGGGGAAGGAGGGGGGAGGTTCCGCAGGCCCAGTGCAGCCGGAGCGGGGAGAGGCAATCACAACGCACTCATCACTGCCGGGCACTGCTCCAGGCACCCGGGGGTTGGGCCAGCAAGGACCGAGTGCAGGGGACGCAGAGCGGGCGAGACACACGCCAGGAGGCCTGACCCGGAGCCTCCTGGCGCCAGGCTGCTTGGCGAGGGTGACAAGGTCAGGCCACCTCAGGGCGGCCGTCCTAGTGGAGAACGGCGGACGTGGTTCCTGTCCTGGGCTTAGTGGGAATCAGGGTGGATTTTTGGAAACTGAGGCTGGGAACCAGGGCACACCAGGCAGGACTACCACTTAAGCTGCACCCTCAGACATGTTTGCTTTCTTTCTGTCTTTCTTTCCTTTCTTCCTCTTTCTTTCTTTTTGGGTTTGGTAGTGGGGCCTGAACTCTGGGCCTGGGCGCTGTCCCTCAGCTCTTCAGCTCAAGGCTAGCGCTCTACCACTTGAGCCACAGCGCCACTTCCGGCTTTTTTCTTTTTGCTTATGTCGTGCTGAGGAATCGAACTCAGGGCCTCATGCATGCAAGGCAAGCGCTCTACCACTGAGCCACCTTCCCAGCCGTATCTTTATTTTATTTATTTATTTATTTATAGTTCTTTTGAAGCAGGGTCTCGATAGTCCAGGCTGGTCTGGAACTGGCTCTGTAGGCGAGGCTAGCATCAGAATTGAGATCCTCCTGCCTTAGTCTCCTGAGTGCTGGGATTACAGGCATCCCCTCCGGGGGAATGGTGTTCTGGGTTTCAGGGACTCTTGGTGAGCTGGAGGGGCGGGGGAGTGTGGTACCTGTGTGACAGGATGATCTTCTTCATGTTGTCGGCCATGAGGAAGTTGTAGAAGCGCCGGCACTGGTCCCACTGCATGAAGGTCTCCTGGGCCCTGGAAGAGCACAATGGGAGTGAGGGGTGGCGTGGCGGGGGGCACGGGGCGCCGGCTAGGAGGGGCTCTGGTGGCCCATATCGCTAGCTGTTTTGCCCGGGCTGGCCTCAACCCTTGATCCTCCCCATCTCCACCTCTATTTCATCTGTGGATCACATGCTTTTATTTTAGTTAGGTAACTGTTTCTGCAATGGGGACTTTTTGAGGACTTCTGGGTGAATTGATTTTAGCTGCATCCAGTCCGCTCCCCTTCTCTAAGCCTTGTGCGGGCAGGGCAGTCTTCTGCCCTTTGGGACTGGGTCCTAGGATTGAAGATGAAGGAACTCATCTTCCTCCCCCCCCCCCCCCCCCCCCCGCCCTGAAGTATCTTTACCAGCTAGCTCCACCTGAGCACACAGACTCCAGGGCTGGTTGGCAGCTGCTTCAGTGGCATCTGGGAGACACCATGTAATTTGGGGGGCATGGGCAGCACCCCTTCAGCATTCGGCACATAGTACAAAGGTGAGCTGGCCTAGCAACGGCTAGACTTTGTGAACAAGAGCAAGTAGGTACTCTCTGAGCCCTTGATTAACTCCAGCTAAGCGGGAGAGGAGGTCTGAGATGCCATAGGGAGGGGCCATGGAGCAGGAAGGTCTCACACAACTGGTGGCGGGTTGTAACAAGCAGGACTCCCAGGTGGATCCTGCCAAAGAACCGCTCCTCTTCACCTCGGAGAAGAGGACGCACCCAGAGCCCAAGGCGCTCACTGGCCTCAAGTCAAGGGCAGGAGGGAAAAGCTACACTGGCCTAAAGGAAGGAAGCGTCCTTTGTTCACTCAGCCTGTCTGGTGGAGGGGACCCGTGGAGGTCCCTCCATGGCTGCAGGGACCTGAGCTTAACTGCACTGTACAACGTGCCCCAGCCAACAGCAGATGGCGCTATTGCGACAGTATGGCATGGAAAAGAGAAGCCACTTTGTTGGCGGGGTAGTAGGTATGTGCCACTGTGTTCAGCCCCTGGTCAAGATGGAGTCTTGCTATTTTTTCGTGTTGGCTTCATGCTGAAGTAGTATGTGCCTTTAGAAGTGCTACAGACTGCCTTTCCAATTGGAAATAATAACTGGTTGCACCCATTTGTAGCATGAGAGACATTTTCAAGAAGGAAAAACACGAGTGCATTTGAAGAGTCTGGATGGACATGAGCCTGGGGACTGCAGGGACCCTGAGGGGAGGCAGGAACCTGGGTCCCCTGCTGGGAGGGGGGTGTCCTGCTCTGCTGGCCGGAGATGAGGGGGAAGCCTTCCCTATGGCTCAGGCCCTCTGTGAAGAGGGCTGGGATGACTGAGATGAATCCTCGGAGCTGACGGCTTCACAAGACCCCTTCCTGACGCCATCTGAGACTCCACTGGGGATGGAGGAAGGGCCCGGCTGTTACTTCCTGTGTTCTCCCATCAGCCCCTGGTGCTTCCCACTAGGCTGGTCCAACCACAGATCCGATCCTACCACACAGCCACGTGCCCAGGCTTAATGGTCTGAGAGGACAGCGCCAGTCAATGATCTGGACACAACCCAGGTGAGTCTAGGACTCAGAAACTTCTGCCTGACCTGTCATGCTGTTCCCCTGCACCCCCCCTCCAGCCCCAGGTCTCGGGGTATCTCAGAAGGCACATGCTCAGTGAAGAGCGGGCAGGGGGAGGTGGGTGTGGGTGGCGAGAGACTCACCTCAGCGCGCTGTACCCCTGGCATACGCTGACGCAGCACAGAACCTTCTCTTGGTTCGCCTGGGTCTCCCCCAAGTATTTGCACACGATGTTCCCCCCCAGGCTGAAGCCCACGACGACGAGCTGGGTGAGAGGATACGTCTTCCTGATGTAGTTCACCATGGCGCCGAACTCCCACGTGCAGCCTGCGGGCAGAGGTGAGGCGCCCAGTCACACCGGGGGATGGCAAGCTGGAGTGGGGCCACACGCTGATCTCTGCCTATTTGGAGAGGTTTCCAGATGCCCCAGACCCTAGGGAGCCAGGGGCGGGCAGTACCCCTGAGAGGAAGTACCGTGTATGGAGCAGATTGAACATGGGTCGACACTCGGGGGCATCTGACCCCACACTCTGGGTTTGCACAAGCGTCCGTGTTCACATGCACATGTATAACAGCAAGGGCAAACCCTTTGGCACTGGCTCCTTGGACTACAAACTGGGAAGCCACGCCCATGTGCAGAATGACTCCAGTATCCAGAGAGCTCTGGAGGGGACGTCAGCCGTGGGGTCTTCTTGTCAGTGCTTGGGGAGGGCAGGAGAGAAGAGCTCCAAGCCAGAGGGATGGCCGGGATGCTCAGAAGGACAGGTAAAAATGATCTTGGGGCCGTGGGGCTGGGGGGCCGAGGGAGACAGGCTCATTCAGAAATACCCGGGGGGCGGGGCTCTGAGTGGCATGGTTGCTGGGGCCCGGCTCCCCAGAAGAGGTGATCTCAGCTGGGTCTGCTGGGATGCTGGTGGGGCCACGCCAGCTCCGCCTCTACAGCTCTGCTCTGAGGAGAGAGCAGTGGCCATCCTCAGGTGCAGGGATTCAGCACACCCCACGGGGGCGTGGCTAGAACTTCCGGGGTGTTGGCAAGAGGCCAGCCCAGGAGAGGATGAGTCTACCATGGAAATGGGAGCTGCTGACCTGGCATCAGCACAGAGGGGTAGTGACGCTGTGAACAGCCCCTTTGCTAACCAGCAAATCGCAGACACTATCTTTAGGACCTGGGGCAGTGCCGCCATTTTCCTCCTGCAGCCTAGGCCCGGCTAGCAGCACCACTGGCCACATGGTCCCATGTGCACAGGGCTTTAGGAATGGGCATCCCTGAGCCCCACCCAAGAAGCTGATGGCCCAGGGACCTGTGTTATTTCTTCCGAGTGACTGATGTCATTGTACAGAAGTCAAATAACACAATAGGTCTCTCATACTCTTCCTTTTGCTGCCAGGGATGTCAAGTGCGTTGGTTCATCCCTTGCTGTAGCCCTCTGCAGCATGCCTGATGACTGACACACAGAGGCTGCCTGCGTCTGCCTTTGTAATGACACAACATAGACACATGGGAAAATGCACGGTGACTTTGAACATGTTTCTACCAAGTTCTTGTCTCCTGTCTAGATCGCAGGCCGCCTGCTTCTCCCTCCTGGGAAAGTTTACAGCCTTCGATAAAGACTTGATTCTAGTGGATTCTGGTGACAAGCCAATGGACTAGAGGAAGCCTTTGCCTTGAACTCTGGAATGTGGAAAGCCAGATTTTCATCCCCGTTAGGTGAGACTGTCATGCACTATACACTGACTGTGGACTTGTTTGAATGTTGGTTTTTTTTGGGGGGAGGGGGCTTCTTTTAAATTACACATTCCATAAAGAGGTTCTAGGTTCCCTTGTCTCTGCATCGGTGAGGCCAGATGCCGGGGGACGCTTGGGTGGTGTGACCCGAATGGTGGGTTGAAGGAAAGGAGGGGTACAGCATGCCAGACCTCTGTTCAGCTCTCACACACACACACCCCAGGAACAGAGCACCTGATCTGGACTCATGCTTGACCTGGCTTACATCACAAGTTCACACAAGTGACAGTTCTGCTCAGCTTTCTGTTTAATTGCTACGTCTCACTCTCTTCTCTGATTCCTTTGCCATCCATCTGTCTGAGGCTAATTATTTGAGACTTCCAGCAGGTGTTGGGTGCCAGTGGGGCAGTGGCAAACTTGAACTTACTGCTGGGTACTGGCGGCTGACGCCTGTAATCCTAGCTACTCAGGAGGCTGAGATCTGAGGATCAATGTTCAAAGCCAGCCGGGTCAGGAAAAGTCCCTGAGACTCTTATCTCCAATAAACCACTCAGAAAACTGAAAGTAACATTGTGGCTCAAGTGGTAGAGTGCTAGCCTTGAGCTGAAGAGCTGAGGGACAGCGCCTAGGCCCAGAGTTCAAGCCCCACGACTGACAAACAACCACCACAACAAAAAACCCTTGAACTTACTATACCTCAAGGAACAATTACTGCTAATGGCTCCTGGGAGGGAGTAGGGAGGCTCCGCTTATGAAACTAAACATGTCTCATTTGGCAAAAAGGTCCTGCCTGATGCTGGACAAGCTGTTGGGTATTCTGCAAAGAGCTGTCATTCCTGAGCTGGGTGGGGGGGTACATGCCTATAATCCCAGCACTCAGGAGGCTGAGGTGGGAGGATTATGAATTCAAGGCCAGCTTGGCCTATGTAGTGAGACTCTGTCTTAAAAAAAAACCAACAATACCAGGGCTGAAGCTTGTCTCAAGTGGTAGAACACTTGCTTAGCGAGTGAAAGGCCCTGAGTTCAAACTCCAGTTCCACCACTGGGTGGGAGGTGGGGGAAAGCTGTCACCTGTCCCAGGCCAGGGAGGGGCAAAGACCACAGTGTGTCTAGGATCAGCCTTCTGGAGGGTTCAGAGCCTGCCTGGGATCTCCACCTGATATTAGCTGCAACCTCTCTCAGTGTCTGAGAGCTAGACAGTAGTCTGGTCTTAATACCGGAAGTCGTTAATGAGGATCTATGTGTTTAATCCTTCTGGGATTAGCACTGGTAACAAGATTAGACATCTAATCTTGCTGTCGTGGTTGGAAGACAAGGAGGCACGGGAGAGTCTAGCCTGGCTTCTAGACGGCATGACAGGACTGTTTGGGAAGGTGACCTGCTGAGAACAGGAAACATTCTTGGCTTTTTCTTCAAGCCCCCAAAGAAAGACGAGGCAAAGGCTTTCTGAATGCTACTATTTAAAAAGCCCTTTCTCTAAATGCCACTAACGTGACTAAGCAGCTAAGACACAGGGAAGCCAGAGCCGCGCTGTGCCGCGCGCGCGTGGAGCCTGAGTCATCTGTGCTCCCCGTGCCAGGCATGGGCGGGGCCCTGGGAGGTGCCCACGACGTCATGTGGGTGAGACGGAAACTTGAGTCGGGTGTCTGCGTGACCAGGGCGGGTGGAACCACCCACTGGCCGACCTGTCCCTCTGACACGCTCACGGGCGGGTGGGTGGCTGGGACCTTGGCAGCCCACGTTCTCCCGGGGATCATTTCCTGAAGCCCAGGGGAGCTACGCTAAGGCGGATCTCGCAGGATGAAAATGTCAGGAGGAATCAAGGGGCAGCCCCTCTTGACCCTGCACATTAGCTTGTTTAGCTCTGACACAAAATGAGGCCTAGCTTTGTCTCCCCCATTAACTAAAGGCCTAAATGTGCCCTGGTGAGGCGGCAGCATTCACACTGGGACCTGGTCGAGGAGGCGCAGAGGCCATGGCTGCCTCTCCTCCATCCTGCTCTGGGCCCGTGGTTGTGCACTCCTCCCCCGCTCAATCAGAGGGTGACTGGGGGGGGGGGCTCCTGAAGGCGGGGGCTTGAACGCACACCTGTATTTTTCACTCCAGAGACTGCCAATCAGGACAGCTTGGCTTGAAACCTGGGTTGAGCTGTCCTTGGCTTTGTGATATTCTATTCTGCCTTGCTGGGCCTCATCCGAGAGTCAGGAGAGCTAACTCCACACAGCATGGATATTCAGGGTGGTGCCGGGCGGGCACGGCAGGTGGCATGTCAGCGACCACTATCAATACAAACAGTCATGCCTACCACCACCAAAGCAGAGGGAAGTCTTTTAAAACGCTCAGGTGCCCCCGTCTCTGTATAGCCCAATGGACAGAATTCTAAATAGGAAGCAAACAGAGGAGAACTTGAGCTGGGGTAAGAGTCATGCCATTTAAATGCTACCTACCAGTCACAGGCACAAGGCAAGGGAATTACCCCCCTTGGCCTGGGAGGTGGGGACACTAATTAACACCCACCTCCGAGGCAGTGAGCAAAACACAACACGGCAGTCTGGCGGCCCTCACTAGTGAGGCCGATGGAAAGTCCCATGATTCCACCAACGCACAAGGACTTGTTTAGGAAATTCCGGCCAAGACAGAGCTGTGGTCAAACATGTCTAATCATATCAGCAAAGCTGGCCAGGGGCACAGGATCTGTGGCCTGGAACAGAGTTCCAGCATGACAAGTGGGAAAAGATCTTTCCTAGCTGTCTCAGAGAGAGGGAGCTAGGGGCCCCACCCAGAACAAGAAGAACATAGGGTTCCACTCCAACACTCACTTCCGGTTTCTTCTGGGCAAGGCCACTGTTTCCAAAAGCTGAAGGCTGTTTGCATGGACTGAAAGCCTAGCCTCTGCCCAAAGGGGCAGCCGCTGTTTGCACAGGGAGTTCTCACTAACCGTCAGGCACAACTGCTTGACAAACATTTGCTTGTGAAGTGTCACGGTATGTCCACAAACCCACTTCCCGCCTATCACCTAGGGCCTCAGCCTGTCCGCACACTGCAGTCCTGACAGAGAAGGAGAGGGCCCGTTCTATGGGCACAGGGAGCTACAGGAGGAAGCAGGAGGCCCCCTGCTCTCATGGAGTGGATTTCTGGGATGGACAGGCAGCCAGTAAACAGGCACCCAAGTAAAAGCCAGCTGTGACTTCACATCAGATGCCTTGGAGGAGGACCCTGAGAAGCATAGCGTAGAAGGACTGGGCGGGGCTACGAAGGGCTCTTTGAAAGGATGAGACCCAAATGGCAGCGAGAAGCCCACTGAAGGCCACAGAGGGCATTTCCAAGCAGAACTGGGCATGTCTGAGATGAGAGGCACTTGGGACTTTCCAGGCCAGTGGCTGGCGCTCGGGTCTTCTCAGGGCGGGACAGTACCCTGCGCCTCACCAACGGTAGCAGGACTGGAAGGACTGCAGGAGGACAGTCTGACAACAAGTGCAAACACACCTGAAAAACGGCAACTCTGTAATTCTACTGGACGCTTACTCCAAAGAACTTTGTTAAAGAAAAATTCTAGGTACATGTATTTGTAGCATCGTTCTTAAAATGTAGAAAAATGTTAAATAGCCCTACACACCCTACAAACAGGACCAGTTAGATCAACCACAAGAACAATAATAGCAATGTGGCTTTTTTTTTTTTTTTTTGGTCGGTTGTGGGGCTTGAACTCTGGGCTTGGGCGCTGTCCCTGCGCTCTTCAGCTCACAGCGCCACTTCTGGTTTTCTGGTGGTTTATTGGAGACAAGAGTCTCAAGGAATTTCCTGCCCGGGTTGGCTTTGAACCGCAATCCTCAGATCTTAGCCTCCTGAGTAGCTAGGATGACAGGCGTGAGCCACTGGCATCTGGCCAATGTGGCTGTTAAATGATAAAATACAGTGACCCTGCAGCTTCATGCTGCTGACGATAAGGTGACTTACACAAGTCACCTTAGATGTACCCACCGTGACTGACGTGTACATGTAGATGAAGACAGGACGGAAGGCATGATGTTCAGTTTCCCACTACAACACATCCTGTCACAAACATCCCAAATGTTTATGCCTAATGCCTAATTTCACATTTATTATTCGTGGGTGTGGGGAGGACTCACAGGAACCAGGATGGAGGAGTCCTGAGCATTAGCTCACATAGGACTTCCGAAAGCCTCTGCCAGACCATGAGAGCCAGCTCCTGACTTCGAGGAACGTGGAGGTGCACTTGGTTCTACGCTGACATGCATATGCCTCACTGTACTCTCCCTGCCAGTCACAGACGATGGGTGTCAGATGCAGAGGGGTGAAGGGCAAGGCTCAGCTGCCGGCCCCTCATCCCCCCAGACCTGCTCTGGCGCTTACCCGCAGGAGGCCTTGAGAAGCCCTTCCCCTCTGTCTCCAGAACCTCGCCAAGAGTTCTACACTTAAGACCACAGGGCATGGCAGGGGTGGCAGGGTACCTCTGAGGGGCCCCTCTGCTTACCGTAGGTGAACATGCGTGGCGAGGTCAGCTCGATGTTGGGGAGGGCACCCAGGTGGTTGAGCACTGCACACCGATAGCCGTTTTTCTGGGCATAGTCCACGAAGGTGCGGATGTACTGCTTCTCGCTGTGATTGGCGATTCCAGGGCAGATGACCATGGTGACGTCATCTGCAGGGGGGAGACAGAGGTCCTGAGGGGTCCATGGACTAGGTCAGCTAAGATATTAACATGGCGAGCTGGGCGGTGGGATGAAGGGGGGACTCATTTTCTTTTTACGCATTCTGTATTATCCCTATTTTCTAAAATGTCCTTTGGTAGTCATCATAAGTGGAAGAAAAAGGTGGTTTTCTTAGAACATTTGTTGGGTGTGGATACTGTCTCCTCTGAAACTATCTGCATCAACCTTTTCTTTTTTTGGTACAGGGGTGATGGAAAGACGTCACTACAGGAAGAAGTATTTTTTCCCCACTAGGAGGAGCATACTGGCCACACAAAACCTGCTTTCATGGGAAAAGAAGTCAAAGCATGAGAAAGAAGAGGAAAAACAAAACATTTAACTGAGTATGCTAGAGAAATAAATATTTGAAAAACCAGCTACTAGATTTATCAATACAGTGTGAACAGCTATTTATTCATTCCTTTGTGACTGGTTCCTGCGAGCCCCTAGTTCTAGGCGACCTCCCCGGAGCTGAGACCCGATGAGGAGGAGAGACAGCACATGAGGGTGTGGGGCAGGGTGAGCTAAGAGGCCTTAGCAGCTACTTAGTCGTTCCTTACTTCAAGTGACTGAGAATCCATTTGCTGAATTTTATGCAAATGATAACCACATTCCTAAAACAAACTAGCTGCCTTTGAATAGGCAAAAGACATTCTCTTCTCCTAGGAATTATATTCAACAGCATGAGCATCTAACCCCACTTCCTTAATGTCCTTGTTACGAAGCATTTTATGATGTGTGTGGATTACACGGAGCAATGCCGAATCCTAGCAAGAATGGAATTGCCCCTGGAAACTGAGTTGTTTCTCCGCAACAGGTGTCCCTGGCCCATGTGTGGTGAACATGGCCTTAATGTGTGTCTCTGTCCAAGGAAGCGTCCACACAGGGCAGCCAGGCCTTTGTGTGCTCCACTCAGCTACTTCTCCAAGCTCCAGGTTCCCAGCAGTGATGCGGGCTCTCTCACGGGACTGTGAAGGAGTCTAAGGCAACAGCACATGTGAAACACCTAGAACCGTCCAGAATGGTCCAGCCTCCGTTCCTCACACTTACGGACCTGGGCTCCATGCTCAACCTGTTCCCTTTAAACTAGGGCTCTGGATTTCCCAAGTGCATTGTAAAACCATTCTCCACAGCTTCCTGGAGATCTCTGTGTGGGGTTCTCTCCATGAACCAGCAGGCCTACGCTGGAGCTAATCCTTGCAGACTTGGATCTAATCTCGGCAGACTTCCGGATGTCATGACACATCCCTGACGTCACCTGATGATGTCCTGGATACCACACGATGGGGGGTGGCATTTCCGCCATACTTCCCCCAACTCCTGCTCTTTGACTGACAGCCTAGTGCCACTCCCTGAACCAACTCACCTCCAATACAGTGCTCAGCCAAGGGCTCAAAGAGGTCGAATGTAGACGTGGCTCCATCAGACATGGTGATGAACTTCCGGTGTCCATACGGGTGTGGTGACCTCACCCTTCCCATCTTCCCATACAAGGCTGTCTGGATGTGTCCACTCTTCCCCCAGATCAATGGTGGGATGTATCTGAGAAGGAAGGGGAGAAAAGGTCAGTCTCCTCACGCTCCTGAAACACTCTGTACATTGGAATTAACATGAATGTGATGTACTGTCTGTCTTACATCCAGGCCACGCTTTCTCCCCTTTTGCACCATATATATCACGTCCTTCAGGAGGGGAGCTGACACGCTCATCCAGACAGGATTTCAAAGTTTGGGTGGCAAATAACTCAACCCAGGTGATCTCCATGATGAAACAGCAAGCAATATATTTTGAACACATTTGAACTTGACAGAGCTGGCCTCATTAACATCAAACGAGCAAATGTATATAAAATAGCTACCGAGCATCTACATGCAGTAAATTCTCACTTCTTTCTCGTTCGTTAATGAGAGGCCACAGCTGCAGTGTTTACCCCATTAGCCCAAACTGCTGCGCTCAGCTACACCCAGAAGGGCTGCAGACTCTGCCAAATGCCTTCCAGTATCTTGGGGTGGAGGGTAGGGGAGTGCCACTGTATGCCCTAGAGAATGTGCTAGAAGGGCAGAGCAGCATACTGATGGTTAATGGAGGATGAAGCCTAGACAGCCCCCTGCCCTTTTTCCACTGGCCTGTGATATCATCACATGACCCCTCACCCCCAAGCGCTGGAAGAAAATGCTCAGATCACAACCTGGTCAGTGATGGGGAAAGTCACAAGGAGGAAGCGGCGATGGTTCACAGCCACAGTACAAGACCACCCACGCACACTGACTGCATGCGTTCCTCTCCCATGGCTTTTGGTCAAGCTTGATGGCTGGCCAGGACATGTCCTACATACACAGCCACGGCACCAAGCGCTTCTCCCTGCACTGTCACAGTAGTGTTTGTTAGCAATTTACCTTAGCCTACTTGCCAGGGAGGCCTGGCATTTCCCTCTGGTCTGGATCATCCAGGAGCTCTTTCGTTCCTTCTTTTTGTCTGCATGCACTTGACTAAATCTACCCAAACCTAAGAGGAGGGATGCTGCCACAATAAGCCAGTGCCCAGACAAGCTTCCTGGGAGGGGGGAGGATGAGAGCAAGGACTAGTTTTAAGACGGAGAGGCCAGTGCCAGCGAGCGCACCACAACAGGTGCAACTGTCAGCACCGAAGCACGGCCACGGCCTTCGGAAAGCAGACGCAGGTGTTTATAAGAGCTGCCTGGATGATGACAGTAAGGATGTCGACGGAAGCCAGGCACGGGCCACACACTTGGGAGCCCAGCCATTGTGAAGGTGGAGACCGGAGGATGCAGAGTTTGAGGCCAGCTTTGGTGCTTGAGACCTTGTCTTAACAAAACAAAAAAGTGATGTATGCCGATAAAACATAGCTCAAAAAAACCAACAGAGATACACGTACATACATAATTGTGAAAATGGGATGTACCACAGTAACGTGAATTTGGCTATTAGGTGACTTGTATCTGGCTACATCCAACCCCCTTCTCACAGCGAGAAGGAATAAACCCCTCAGAGGTGTGTGTAATGTCACCATAGAAGATTAAGATCAGATCCACCCTGTCCTAGGAGATGAGCTCACCGCCCTTCCTCAGCAAGCAGTCCATCTGTTCCCTGTGTGAGCACGTGTGCATGTATGTGTGAGCATGTGTGCATGTGCACCCCCATGTTAAGAAACAGCTGCCTCAGGATCACTGGGACTTTCTCTTTCCAATGTACGGTCAATTGTGCACAGCAGACATCTCTCAATCTTTAATTTATGACATCACCACCTACTGATAAAACACTGTTTTTAATTAACTTCACAATAACACCACAGCAGGATTGATAAAACTGAGCTTTAGGAATGCGTTTACTCAAGTGGGGTATATTGGATGTTTTCCTGTTTATATAATTTACCCACAGGCCACAAGAAATGCCATAGCTTTCTTTACGTTTTGCGGCATCTGGTTTGACACACTGACTTGCATATGAACATATTTGAAAGGCCATTCTGAGTACGGGAAGCCTCTGGGCATGCCTTGCTGATTCTCTGAGAACAGGAACGATGCTCTCTGCTTACCAGTCCACACGCCTTGCTGTCCGATGTGTTTAATAAAGGTTTGTTACTAAGAAATAAGCTGGACCACCACAAAACATAGAGGCCAGCCTGTCCTTCTCTGCTGGGGCCTATTTATAACCAACATCTGGCTTTCTGAACACAGCTGCCCAGCGGGAAAGACAGCAAGGGAAAACCCGCACCCCTTCCACCCACGACCCCAGACACACAAGAATGCACACACGGCTCTGGGCAGATGACACAAACATGCACGCACACTGCCTCTGGGCAGATGGATTAGGGACAAGATGCCTGCCAGAACCTAGAAACAGAGGTGAAAAGCCAACTAATGATTCTCTTTGCTCTAAACCAGTGGGTAACAACTTCTTCCTTGTGGGACCTGGTCCTTGGTTGCAAATCAAGCTACTTTACAACTAGTGGAACAGCCAGCCTCTAGTGCAATGCAAGACTTGGCATGTGGTAGGTGTCTAAAATACGTTATCTGAGATTGAGTCCTCATGGCCCAGCCTTTCAGGGCACCAGATGGCCATCAGTAGCCACTCCCTGGCGTTTTTTATTTCTCTTGGATAGGACGCTTTGGTTAGAGCAAAAAAATCTAGTAAAGGGGCTAGACAGACACTGGGATGCTAGGTGTTCACAGATGGATGACAGGCTGGGGCAGAAAGAGCTGCAGGGTCCAGGAGAAGCAAGGAATATGCTCTTCACCCAGTCAGGAGTCCCCACCCCACAACACGGGGGTCAACTCCTAGGAGGAGCCATGCCTGAGATGTAAGAAAAACAGACCTAGACTGCCTGGTGTCACACTGCCGGGATTAGGAGCCAGGTCTCTGACTCAGTCCAGAGCTTTCCTTACTAGGACACATTCAAGGAGCTCTAGTTCTCCCACATGGAAGTCAAGTGAACAAACATCACTTTTGATTTTGGTGGTCCTGGGGTTTGAACTTAGGGCCTACCATTTGAACTATGGTTCTAGCTCTTTCTTTCTTTCTTTTTTTGTTGGTGGTGGGGCTTGAACTCTGGGCCTGGGCGCTGTCCCTCAGCTCTTCAGCTCAAGGCGAGTGCTCTACCACTTGAGCCACAGCACCACTTCCCTTTTTCTGGTGGTTTATTGGAGAGAAGAGTCTCATGGACTTTGCTGCCTGGGCTGGCTTTGAATCGTGATCCTCAGATCTCAGCCTCCTGAGTAGCTAGGATTACAGGTACGAGCCACCAGCACCCGGCTTTTAGTTTTTATTTATAGCATAGAGTCTTATTTTTGCCCAGGCTATCCTGGGCTAAGATCCTCCTATTTATGCTTCCAGTGTAGATGGGGATGACAGCCATGCTGTTGAGCCTAGCTAGCTATTGGATAAGATAGGGTCTTGTTAACGTTTTGCTCTGGCTGTCCTGGAACTGTGATCCTTCTGATCTCTACCTCCCTTGAACCTAGGATTACAGGGGTGATCTAAAGATTAAAAAAAAATCTTTGTATAATTTTTCTTCTGTCTGACCAGTTGTCAGAATGTTCTGTTAAATCACGTTTGTCCAGACTATTGACTGGATTTATTGGAACATCTCTGTGATGCTCAAGGAGAGGTTCAACAGAGAGCCACTTCTCGGTTTTATAAGCTTTTCACAAGTGTCACTGTCTTCTCATCCTTTTGGAAGGTAATAATTTGAATATTCACCTGCAGGTATTTTTTAAAGAAGGCCAGAATGTTAATAAAAGCATCTCTGGTCTCCCCCAAAGATAATGAGACCCCAGAGATTAAGAGGAAGGAGAGAATACAGGTTCTTCCAGAGAGGTGGCAGGTGTCTGGTTTGGGGAAGCGTTTCATCCTGCTTTAACCAGTGCCTGACTCACCAAGCTGAGCTCGATGCTGGGTGCTGAGAGCAACACTTGGTCAGAAAATGAGCTGGCCTTCTCCTGTGTCCAGGAGGCTAGGGAGGAGCAGAGCCTTTTGCCTCTTGGAGAACATCTTGCACCTACTTTTCCTGGGCCCTGACCTGCCTGAGCTCCCCTGAACAGGCCTGAAACCCAGGACCATAGCTGCTCCTGCCACATCCCTGAACCAGGGGCTAGCAGCCCCTGCACGGCACACCCATCTTACCAGCCCTGCAGGGCAGAGGCAAGGCTGAGGTAGGGAAGAACTTCATCAAGAGCTTCAGGAGCAAACAAGTTGGGCCTTGGAGCTCATGGGCAGCTTCCCAAATGGCCATTAATAAGTCCAGGCGGAGCGCGCTGCGAACACAGCCTTCCCCAGACTGCAGGCAGACTCTCCACGCTGCCTGTCTCACGTGTGCACTGCTGTCGCTCAGTGTTCTATTCTTGATCTGCAGGATTCTGCACAGGAAAATTCCAGCACAGCGGCAGAGCATTCTGCGCCTGCCTGAAATGACCAAGAGCAGCCTGCGGAAACGAGACAGAAGTCTTGTCCTTGAACTTCCTTTTGAAGTCCAGGATGGAGGGGGAGCGGGGGCAGCTGGACAGAGCCTTCCAGTCTCTGCCTTCTTGCTTCCTGTGCATGCTATTAGACAGGGACTTCAAAGAGAGCGATAATACCACTTAAAATGAAACTGCTTTTTTTTTTTCTTCTAAGGAAAACAACTCAGGCTTTTAAAGCTAAAAGAAAACAAGAAAAAAAATTATTTGAAGATTTGCTTTTGGAGCCGGGTGCCAGTGGCTCATGCCTACAATCCTATAGGATTATAGCCTCCTATACTCAGGAGGCAGAGATCTGAAGATTGCAGTTCAAAACCAGCCCAGGCAGGAAAGACTGTGAGACTCCTATCTCCAGTAAACCACTAGAAACCCGGTAGCTCGAGTGGTAGAGCACTTGCCTTGAGCTGAAGAGCTGAGGGATAGCACCCAGGCCCAGAGTTCAAGCCCCATGACCGTCAAACAAAACAAAACAAAACAAAACAAGACACAAACCACTCTGTACAAAATCATACCTGTAATCCTAGCTACTCCTGAGGCTGATATCCAAGAATCAAGGTAAAAGCCAGTG